GTTTATCATTGCGTTGACGCGAACGGGACGAGATTAGCAGCTGACGAGTGTTAGAGTCGTCCTTGGAAATCACGGTCCTTTCTGTCTTCTCTCTTGGACGTGATTTCGCTGAAGGACGAGCGAAACTGGCTGCTTTGGGGCAGTATTTCCCAAAGTAGGGGGTATCTTCTATCGAACAACTGAAAAACACCTTTTTGTATTAATTTGTATGGAATAAACTAATAATTTTCATTGACATTTAACAATTATGTAATCGTGTTGTATAGATTCACTGAACGTTTGACTGAAATGGACGTTTTCTAACATTTAATTGAATCAGTTAATTTTGAATTAATTCAAATAAACGTAATAACAATTTTGGTAGTGAGCTCCCTCTGTAAAAAATTTTGGGAACCACTGCTCCAGGGGTCAAGGAGCGAAAGTTTCGCGTAAAGAAGCATTCATCGGCGCGATCGACATATCGGAAAATTGGTATCAATCTCAATGGTATTAAGAAGCATGGAGGGACAGGGGACGACGACTTTCAAGAATTTCGAAGTTAAACGTTCGTTTAGCGATGCTATTCTCACGACATTCGATTAATTAATCACACCAATCGTTATGTTCCATGCATTTATATCAGATGAAATACTATCGATAGCATTCGCAATATCTAGCATGTAGGTGATGTTACCGTTATAACATTAAAAATACTATTTATATATCTTAATGTAATTCGCCACGTAAGAAGTAGATAGTCGGAGACATAGCCGTTCGTATATAAAACGTACGTCCGTTGAATTTAAACGTAACAAGTGTCGTCGTCTAACCAGTGAAAGAAGAAAAATGAGCAGTGAAAGTTTGCGTTATTTCGAGGTGGAAAGAATCGTAGTTCGAATTTGTGGAGTTATGAAACGAGTATAGATTCATTCGGCTAATTAGAACTGTAGTATCATTCAACGATTTAGCGTTATGTACAATTAACATCGAAGAAACGAAAGCACTGAAAATTGATAAGTGAAAGTGCAAACGACTCATAGTTGCGTTTAGATTCATCGATGTAAGCATATTGCTGCCTTTGGCTGTATCGTTGCCCCCCTACTGCTAACGAGTAACTCACTTGTCTACTCATGTGATAATTTAGTATATTTCTACGTACCTACCTGTATCTACCGGTTCTCAGTAGCAAAAGGATTATTCGTCTTGCGCTGCGTTCAATCTCAATTTCAAGCCAAGTCGATCTTGGTCGGTAGAGAAATGAAAACGAAAATTAAATTAAGCCTGTTCATGACTATCAATAACCACGAAATACTTCAACAGAGGAGTTATTCTTAAGAGAACCTCGCGAGACATCATGTAGTTCAGTTGCTCTTCAGGGATGGGCAGAATTTAAATAAGCTTTTACTCTTTCAAGGTGGAACATCATTTTATCGTACGATTCAGACTATTCACTGCAAACATAACACGTGAGACGTTGTTCATCTGCGTTGAATGCCATCTTTTTCAAAATTTCTCATCTACATGAGAATTTTGCCCATTCCTCTTTCTTTATTTTTGCTAAAACCTGACGAGTTTCTATCGTGAACGTGCGCAATCCTTTCTCTGCTCAAAAATTCGCGCTGTATAATCTAGATGGCTTGCTTCTACCTAGCGTCGACTACTCATCTTTTCTCCTGTTATTTCTAAAGCTTCGCTGTTTTCGTTTACAAAAACACTCTATCGCTCGGTTTCAATGAATCGGACGTTTCATGAAAGATTCGCGAGCTTCGCGTTGATTTCAACGATACACCCAACGAGGTGAATTGGCAATCGGTGAGAGTTTGTTTCGACTTGATTAAATAATATTTTGCAACAAATGCACGATCGACAATCACTCCTAATCAGACTCTAAAAACGTTTCTCAATCAACGAGACACGTTTTAGCAATGAATGCAACACTTTGGTGGACGTATAACTTGTCTTCTTTTATTTTTAAACCGTAGCCATTTTTGTGTTTAATTATCCAACGAAGCTGCGAACATATCCAACACATACCTGGAAGTTTTAAACATATTAAATGAATGACGAAGAGGTGATAAGAGCAAAGTTAAACAGGCAGCATCGAACCTTTATTATTTCTATTAAATAGTCTGTATAACGCAGTCGACGAAAGCAATTTTGCAACATCCAACAATGAAATGAGATAACAACAAAAAAATTGTCACCTGATTCCACAGTGGTCATCGAGTCGCATAAAATGAAACGAACTTTCCATGTATCTGACTTTCTTAAGTGAATAATACCGGCTCTATTGTCGCAGTTCTAGGAACTCACTGAACATTGTTATCTACGTATTTATCGAATCCGATTTCCAGCACATCCGATTGTTAACCTGACGTGGAATTGAGAGAAATGTTAGAGGTAGTCGCGGAAGACTGTGGAGAGCTCACCTAGCTATATCTTCTATTCAGGCACGGGCAATCTAACAAAGACTTTCTCGCTACGGCAAACAAGCGCGTTTGTTTCGTAACAAACGTTCCTTCCCGCGTTCTTCTCTTCTTAGAGCAATAATTTTACGATAAAACGTGACTAATTTCATTGCGCTCTACAGGATTATCCAGTGTAAAGTATTGCGAGCTGTTTTCTCAGAAAGTAACGAAGAAATCTTTCTAATTTTTTCTAAATATTGTTTGGAGTAAGTGTTAGATGAGAAAAGAAAATGGCGAAGGGAGAAGTTGGTATTAATTTTATATCTGGTAAACTCAAAGAATTTTTTAGCAAAAATAAAGTCGATATCTTTATTAGTTTCTTAGAAAACATCCTGTGGCACTTTATACCTTGTATTTCGTTCACGCAAAACCCTCGGTATTAATTAGTTCTTTCAGCTTCAAAACGGTAATTGTTCTCTGTTTTACTTTCCAAGTACTTTATTAATAGAAAATTGTCACGGTGGTGATCGCTGGTGATCTTCCTGGCAGGAAACGTGTTAATAAAAATTACTGGAGAATTTGTAAATACCGCACTCCGGAAACTTGACAAAAAATTGATATAACTGATCTTTCTGAAAAGATAGAGAGTGGGAGAGAGAGAGAGAAAGAGAGGAGGGGGAGAAAGAGGGAGAAAAATTGCTGATAGGCCGTGAAAGGTTGCCTAGGCCTGCTCTACGCTATTGAACCTTAATCGTTATAGTCATAAAATTATTTTGTACTAAGAACTGTTTATAATTTTGTATCTAATCTCTGTAAATACCAAGCAGATTGTCTATGGCTAATAAAGCTTAAACAAAATCGATATAAGTAGACTATGTAAAGGGAATTATATATATATATATAGGTATTTATATTTTAATTAGCAATTAAGAAAGGTGAACGAGATGATGTAATTAAATTTCACATAGGCGAGGACTGGTAATATACCAATGTACAACGATCTAGGAACTATTTGTATTATACAGGTGACAATTTAAGGGACAAATCATTAAAAAAAAAAAGTATACATGTTACTCGATAGCCACGTATGTGTATAGGGTCCTTCATTGAATATTTACCCCTTGAATTTCTCAACGAAATTTTTACGAAATGATTGTTGTTCCATTTTGCGTTATCGATTTTGGAAAGACAGAGAGAATAAGCGTCTATACAACGACAAACATTGCAAGCGTGAAATATACTTCCAGGATCGTTTATCGTACTCGAATAAAAAATCGTAGCTCTATTAAACTTTGGTGTTAATTTGTACGAAAGAAAAAAAAAAAGGTGAATTCTCGGTGGAATTGTTTGATCTTTTTCGTAAAGTGATACGTTTGGGAAACCCTGTACAGTATTACGGTGTAGAATCCAACTAGTCATTTACGGCACTTTATAATGTTTAAAGTGTATCTTCTACGTTAAACGTGACATGCAACGAACGTGTTGCTATAATTTTACGTTTTAATTTAACGAAGCGATTGTATAAAGAGAATTATGTTCTAGGGACGTCTTCTCTGTTTCTTCCATTGTTTACGAATCACACTCAACGTAAATGTGTATCTCGTTTGCCAACGAAAAATGATTTTCGGTTGTCTGCGTTGGTTTGTTTTTATTTCGATCAGTCTGCCTCCAAACGCGAACTATCGCTTAAACGTTACTGACAGTAATCTAAGTCTTGCGCAAGATAATTCTATTCGTGTATCTTATATGTATGTTTCGATAAAGGTGGAAGTACACGTTGTAAGTTCAAGTACGCGGGAAGCACAACGATAAAACTTATTTGTATCGAACAGTCAAATGAAATGATATTACATATTTCAATGAAAATCCATGATTTCCTGAAGTTTTTCACTTTACCTTTACTGCGTCTTGTGCGAACAAGATTTACATATAAAAAGAAAAGAGAATGTCTTGTTTTTGTGATATTTTGTTTCGTATTTTGATTTCAAATTGACGCTTCGTTTCGCGCCTAAAGGAATGAGAGTGGCGCCATCGGTGGAAAAACGCCCAAGTTTGTAGTGAAAAAGTAGTTCGTTCTGTTGCCGCTAGATGGCGCATAGTTTAGTATTAGTGGCGTCATCGGTGAGAAAACACCCAAGTTTGTAGTGAAAGTAGTTCGTTCTGTTGCCGCTAGATGGCGCGTAGTTTAGTATTAGTGGCGCCATCGGTGAGAAAACACCCAAGTTTGTAATGAAAATAGTTCCCACTGTTTCTATTAGATGGCGCCAGCAAATTCATAAATGTACTCAAAATGAATAATTAATACGATTCTTTGCATTATGACACTACATTATACGTTATACGTGTACACATTTCATTTCAATTGTACCATTTTTAGGAATAATTTTGTAATGCAGGCATCATTATCGACTCTTTAGTTAGTCGCGCTATCTAGCAACAACAGTTTCAACTATTATTCACGACAAACTTGGGCGTTCTCCCACCGATGGCACCACTAAGTCACGTGACTTGAATTAAAACAGCGGGACGCTAGAATAAATTTAAAGCTAATAGAAGTTATAATATACTAGTTAATTCTTAAAATATATTACATCTTAAAAACAGGAAGTCATATTGTTTAATTTAAAAAATTGTATTTATTCTATGTAACAACATAAATTCATTTCACAAATTTCCTTCCTGTATAAGGTAGAAGTAAATAACATTTACTTTCGAAAATAAGATTTATTATCGGTTAAAAGGAATGGCCAAGTACGTCTAAAGAATCAAGAGCTACTTATTTCTTCTCAAAATGTTCCAGTGTAAAATTGTTCAAACTGCTGGTAAACCTTAAACTAATTAAACTCTAATACTGATCTGATTTCTGCAATTAATTTGACTTCTCGCACAGTACCATGCGACGAATTGAAGAATTCTAATGTCAATCCAAGTTGAGGAAGATTAGGATCTATGACATACTAACTTTTCACCGAAATTTGTCAAGTCATACGGGCGGATACTAAAAATAATGACTCTTGTACTTTGGCTCCTATATAAGCGTATCGAACAAATTTAAAGTACACTGTAGTAAGGCTGCAATTAAGTGAGAGTACTCCATATTTGTGCTCGTTGTTGATAACATTGTTTTTACACTTTCTATCCTTATCACTATCACTAGCCTCTAGTGGTCGCTTATTCTTTTAAATTCTCACAGTAAAAATGTTCGTTCATCTCTCGTTTATTCGAATCTGCGAATGTATTCGAGTCAGGAAGTATATTCGCAAGGATGAAGATGACGATTAGGACTGAAGGTTCAATTCACAGAAATGATGATGCGTCTATGAAAGGTCGACACGATCACGTCCACCAGACGTGGGAACAAAGTTTAAACATAAATAACTAAGATCCAGTGTCGTCTAGGGAGACATTTACTGTGAACGCATAAAAAAAAGCATATTTTCAATAATTTTTTTCTCAGGAACTATTGCATAAAATTGAATGAATGTTTTTTCCCCTTAAAGGTATGATTATGGAAAGTAAATAAAAAATTTTTTCTGGTAAAAAATATTTTGTCATTTATTTATAAAATAATATGTATGTGTTCCAAAAAAAAAAGTTATCCGCTGGCGCAGATGATTTTAGCTCTCCTGGTAATCTGAAACAGAAAATCGAAAAAGTTTATTAAACTATGTCGTCACACCTATCGTTGGAATCTCCAAGTCGTTGATGTTTTAATTTTTACTTACAATTTCACCTGATTTACGGTACAAAAAAAGGGTTTTTTTTTTACTCTCTTTCACAAGAAACGCTGCCATTTTGTTTATTTTCGATGAAATAAATAAGTGGAGGTTCCGACTATAGGTGTGACGACATAGTTTAATAAACTTTTTCGATTTTCTGTTTCAGCTTACCAGGAGAGCCAAAATCATCTACGTCAGCGGATAACTTTTTTTTTTACACATGCATATTATTTTGTAAATAAATGACGAAATATTTTCTACCAAAAAAAATTTTTTATTTACATTCTTTAATCATACTTTTAAGGGGAATTTTATTTTATACAATAGTTCATAAGAAAAAAATTATTGAAAATATGTTGTTTTTTGTGCGTTCACAGTGAAATGCCCCCTTAAGGGCCCCCATGCTAATGTGTACAACGTTGAACACATTTGTGGCGGCATTGGTCACTGAAATTTCCCCATTGCCTTCCTTGGCAGCCCTTGAATTTTTCTTTCTTTTCTAATCCACGATATCTGAACAAAATAAATTCAATAAAACGGCCCTGCTGAAGTCTGCAAATTAAAACACGACATCCTATAGAGCCTTACAACGTCTTTGTACATCAACGAAAATGTGTTTAGTTTTTACACAGAAGCTGCAACCTCCTGTTCCATTTCGTGCAGCATATTGTACAAACGCGTTTTCAAGTTATCTGGCACTGCAGCACGTGGCAGATGCTCGATATCGCCAGCTGGATTCGCACACTGTCGCAACATTACCGCGAGTGTGCTAGTGGTGTGCTCCGACATAAGTAGTCCAGGAATTATGATAGTCCCCGAGAGCGTCCAGCCGAGGAATATCTTCTCGCACACGATCTGAAATTCCAGAAATATTCAGAAAATCTCCAAATACGAGAACAGCGTACTTTGATACAGAACGAGAAAGTTACTTGTAAATTATTGTTCATGACCGGAGACTCGCAGCGCTTGTCTTTGGAGCAGATGGACCTGCAGTCGAAGAAGTCGCAGTCCTCGTGTTTCACGCAGCTCTTTCTGTCGGACGTGATACGGCTGATGATCGTTTTAGGGAACACGGCGTCGAGGTCGAGGAACTTGAGCTTCTGTCCGCCTAGAGGCAGTCCGAAATGGTTTATTTTCACGTCGCAGAGATGGATCGGCTCGGGGAAGTTGGTGTCGAATTCCTCGAGCAGGTCCAGGATCATCACGGCCAGCTTCAACCGTTTCGCCCATTCCGGCTTCGAGTCGGACAACGCGAGCACGGTCGTGGGCGTTTCGATCGGTCGAACGTACTCGACCGCGTAGAACGTCCCGCACGTGCCAATCAGCTGAGGGAATACGTCCCTGTCCTCGTAGAGGATGGTCATCAGGTACTCGTTCTCCTGCAACAACGGCCAGAGATTCTCCATTTCAAGCTGTCGTCTGGACAACTCCGTCTCGACGCGATGCGTACGAAGTCGCGCTAGCCTCTCTAATTGATGCTGCGACAGCGTCACGTTCAGCTTGCTAACGACCAGATCCCGGATCATGGCGCTGAAGTCCTTCTCGGATGGGAAATGCTTGTCCCCGGCTATGTCCGTCCAGAACAGCGACTCGTACTGCTCAACCGGGGTCTTCGTTCTGAAATTCATCGATCGGTTTCATCGTGGCCATTGGCGAACTTTGAAATTATGATGAACGAAAGTGAAAACAATTGATGATGGTTCGATCTGAATTCTAGGACAAATTCGCCCTCAAGGACTGTAACTACGTTTGATTGTAGCTACGGCACGGGTTTAGTGATCCCGAGGTACCCGAGGTACCCCGAGCTATAGGTGCAGCAGGCCCTAACAGACTTCTGGCATCCTTGATGGGGATGTCGGGAAGCGAAGAGAATGTAAATAAATATTAGTTTGTCTGGAAAGTCCGTGCCGATTTTTGGTAGGTGGTACACGTCTGTTTATATTTGAATGGTTGAAACAATCAACATGGGTGCATCCCTTAAAAGGTGGCAAGATCGTGGAACAAAATGGTATTTATATAATTCAGTAAATATATATCAAAATTCAAATGTGCCTTTGAATTTTTCTTAAAAATTGGCGCGTTCTTTCTGAACAACCTAATAAAATGTAAGAATTTTACAAAGACGTTAAAAGACGGACACGATTGCGTTGGAAAACGCGTATACTAAAAGAAACAAACCTCGAAGCCTTGAACACGAGTCTAGTAGCTTCCCAGTGCGCAGAGAAGACCGCCTCCTTGCCAGCGTGTAGCGTTTCGCACGCGAGCGAGTGAATCCCCTTTTCCGAGCACAGCGGCTCGCATAGAATTCCTATCGCGGAGCCTTTTCTGTGCGTGCTGCACTGAAATGAAAATTACGATCAGGTACTGCGTGAATCCAAACATTTCTGAAGAGAACGATCAAACTGTTTCGAATTTACTACGTTTATTTGATGGTTCGATGAACATTTTATAACGTGGAATGAACACTACAAAGAAGTATCTCGAGGAACACTTAATACTTGACCTCGCAATATGTTCTTCCTCCTTAAATCCTTAAATAATCTGAAACATCTTAAAATTAGGGAGAGATCAACGCAATCGATGTCAAAAACAGAAAGGAGTACAAGAGAATGTTAAGAGTAATGTTTGCAAGAAATAATCGCAGTTAGTATCCTCATCGTTTCAGGACGCAACTCCCCCGTTTACATGTCTACGCTATCAATTTCTTAATAAAAAAAATATTAGAGCCATTTTATAGCGCGCCTTATATTGCGAGATACTGTTACACTGTTCCCCGTCGTCGATAATTTCGTGATTTATTGTATTTGCATGTATCAAGTCGTTCTGGGACGCGCGTAAATGTCGCAATTTAGGTATAGTTCGATCGTGGAACTGTATTACGACCGGCATTACGTTTAAGCTTCGTATAAGTTTGTTTTCTTACGCTCATTGCGACCACATGAGGGAAAATAGAGTCCGGTGTCAATGTCTGTTTTTCGTTACGTGCACGTGTGCATTTCGTTATAAAACTCGATCTTAGAATGAAGTAGGGTTATCAGGCGAAGAAACACGGAAAGTATCAGTTTCCTTCGCGAAGTCATACGCACTTCCACATATACAGGGCATACTTTCGTAAATAAATCATTCATGCTTTCGTATTCAATCATATCATTATTATATTGAAACAAATTATATAAAATTTTCTAAAATCTTGTCTCTGCAAACTTGGTGCAATATAAATATTATTATTTTTAGACATTTTTTATTTTTGTAACGCCAGTATAATCAAATGTAGAAATATTATCTGAGTCGAAACAATGGTCAGAGAGAGCTGTATACAAACAAACAGTGATTCGTATGTGTACTAATTGAGAAAAAAAGAGTTCCGTGGGTGGATGCTCGAGGCATGTCGTGTAGCTTTTACGTTCGATCCGTGGATGTTCGAGTGCCCTCGGAATGAGAGCAATAAAAGTGAATTATCTCCGTGGTGCGTGGGTGGTGGTTGCGTTACGTGCAATGCACGCGTGTATTCGCACATGTAGCCAGTGTCTCGCGCGTGCACACTTCTCTGGACCGTGCTCGCGATATTTTTAGTTGCCTTGTGACCGCCATGATAAAAAGTATTTCACGATCACGGACGCCTACTTTAACAAAATAATTTTTAAGGGTGGAACTTCATTCTGTGCCTTTACATTCAACTGTTTATAATTGTAGTTTAAGTAAAAATATTTAACCGTCATTTTATTACATTAAAAGTAGTAACGAATCCCACAGATTACTTTGAAATTCGGTACTACAACTACACGTGCTCACATGGAATGTGTGACTGAAGGAAGATTAAAAACTTGTATGGTCTTTATAAATAAATAGTAAGTTAATCTTAGAAAGGCACAGAATTAATTTCTACACTTAATAATTACCATTATTTTCATATTTCTAATTTATTTCTCATTGACTCGTGTCTAATTCGATCTCCACTTGTCGATAATATTCTTATTAAAAAAAAAAAAAGGAAAAATTGGATCGTTGGTGTGTCTAATAAAGTACTTCACGTTTAATCATTTACGTATTAACTTTTAAACGGTGGCCTCTGGGGGATCGCATGTCCGTATCGAAATTCCTGGTATTTTTAGCGAACGTAGTGAATAGCGAAGCATTAGCGCGCCATAATTTCGTTGGAGTGGTGTTTAGCAGTATCTTTTTCGCGACCTCGCGTGCGTTTTACGATGCATTACATAAACGGTTCCGTTTTTTAATACACCGACATGATAGCTGAATGGTCGAATGTAATGAGCAGCGACACTAAGCTGGCGTCCGACGTCTCGCGTACACGGATATGCGACCAGTCGCGATAAATTGAATTTATAACCGTAATCAATGAACTTTTTAGGGGTAGGGGTGTGGAATGTTAATCCACTTATGGTCGACGCGAGGCTGAGAATCTCTCGAGCTGCGTTAAAGTATAAAATGGTAATTCATTTACCAGTACACAAATTCAGAGCGTTTTACCCTGGGCGCACAAATAGGTTCGAAACAATATTATTGGATAAAATTGCCGTTCATCCTTTCTACCCTTCCTCTTAAAATTACCATGATAAACATCCTTTAATTTAAAACATATTCTAGCCTTTTAAATATGTACGTGTTGGTACTGAAGGTACTGTCTATACATTTACATAATTACTTACAACTCTAAATAAAAATATTTACTAAACATTTTGTTATTGACCAACTATGTGACTCTATCGTTAAAGTTCCAAAAATATGGAACAAATCAAAGCCACGTTTCTCCAGACTCGAGTCTTTCAAGATGGAAAGTCCACGAAACGCATTCACGTTTAAAGCAAATAACCAAAGCAACGATTCTGCACAGTTGTCGACAGCAAATTCCGAAAATCAGCGTCCTTCGACCGCGGCAGGGCTCCGCGGTAAGTTTGTAAACAGAAGCGAATAGGTACATACGCGCAAACACGGTTCACCTTCGACTTTCGTCATCCTGTACATACATTGTACATACAGCGTGAAATCCGCAGGTATCTCACGGTTCAGTCGGTTTCGTAGACGTCGCGAGGGCGCGTGCGTGCCCGTCTCGTTCCCTGATCCCTTTCTCTACTACCCTCGTTTCGCCTCTTCGAGCATCCCCTGTGAGATCCTCGTCGTAATAGACGTTGGGTCGCAAGGACGGGAGGGATATCGACAGTGAGAATCGTTTCTGGGTGGAAAGGACTCACCACGTTGGATACGTGACGCCAGGCCTCGAGGTTCGTGCACATAATACCCCAGTGAAGAAGCAAGTACAAGACGAGGAGGACAGTCGAGGCCAGGAAGCCAGAGATCATCTTGTAGTGGTACATGAAACCGGGCAAACGTCGGACGTTCATGATTCTGTGGGCTTCTGTTTCTTCGAGTAAGTAGACGAACCTTTTTCCTCCCCTATACTTCCGACTCGTATCGACGGGTCGTCGATTTTCTTTGATATCTCGACTCACGGATCGGCTGATCGTCGTCGACGTCCGCGGCGGCGCATCGTGGTCGCCTCGTTTTTAATCGTTTCGCGATCGACTCGTCCGTTTCGTTTCGCGAATCTCGTCACGACGCGATTCGTCGACCGACCGGTGCCGTACGGTTGTGCCAATGCGGCATAATCTGCGGCACATGCCAGCGTCGCGACGCATCGCGCCTCTCGCGGCGGATCTCATCGATGAGCGTTCCGCGCAGGTCCGTCTCGCGGATGAAAACTCGCGACGGTCGAATTCGAATTTCCCTCGACCGCTTTCCCCTATTGTGCTGCTCTGTGAATGATTACTTTGGAGAGATAGTGATTCCATGCATAGAAAAGATTTTAGGTTGATCCATTCATTGCTAGGCGAAAGAGCGTTTAGCCTTGGGCTACAAAATTGAATACAGATGTGTAAACTAAGTTGTTACTTTAATAATAGAAAGTGATATTAAATATGTCGCTTTTAAAAACAATATCATTATATCAAATATTCGTTCATTCTTTTTACGCTTCTTTTTATAATGGCACAGTTACTGAAAGTGACTTTTGATAAATATTGATGACCAACATCCTTTAACACGTTGACTGCCACACTAATACTCTTAAATATTTCTACTGCGATTAAATTTTATTTACTGACTATTGAAGACTACATAATCAAACATTTATTGTGGTATTTCTTTTTGTAACTTCACCGAAATTCAAATATTTCATACAAATTCATTTTTTTTTTATATTTAACTTTCAAAATTAATTGTTTTATTTCTTCAGTAAAAAGCACTGTCACCCATATATGGGTGACATGGCGGGCAACGTGTTAATTTAGAATACATTTTAGGCTTTTAAACGGGTACCTGTTGGTAGTTTTAATGTTAAAATACACAGCTATGAGCATATTTCAATTGCAATCAATCTAAACTTCCACCCCAAAACTACAATGGAGAGTGAATAAGTTCAGGGGGTATTCTCGTCTAAAGGATCAGAAAAATCACGTTTTCTTTTTCTATATTTCGAATGTATACGGCATTGTGAATAAACAAGCAACAATATTTTTCCAAATTCGTAAAAGTAATAAAGTTATAGCCCCAGGATATGAACGCGTTATGAGCTCCATAAAATTTGATAGATGCTGCTACAAAGTTTTCGCCGTGTTATCAATCTCACTAACGTTCTATCTTGTATAAACGGCCAGAATTACTTTAAACGAATCAAACTATAAGGGGAACAAAATCACATGGTCCTTAAGACCACCATAGCGATATCTCGTCTGCATCATTTGGCTAACGCGTTTCTCTATCCTTTTCTTTTTCGCACAAATGCGCAGACATGTCTTTTCTGTCCTTTAATAAGAGTACAAGCTAGCGATCCACGAGTGGGGAAGTGGTCTCGAGGGGCTGGTTAATATTGTTCCGACTGTAGCTTTTAATTGGGAGGTCCAGCTGGTGCTGCCACTATCGCCAGACCGTGAGAGAGATGTAACGACTGCGAAAATGTTGCGATCGATGCGACTATCATAGTCTCGTATGAAGAAATTTTGAAATAGATCACGCCTATTTTAATTTCTACATGCTTCTAAATTAACTATACGTATACCTATCAGGATCTAGATATACCCTATAAATTCAGTATATTTTTTTTATGATTGAAAATCATCAACAAATAGTATGGGTGCATGTCTGAAAAATGTCACACTGGCGTAACGCTTGATAATAAAGATGTTAGAATCAAATAAATCGCAAAAATGATTTCGCATGCCCCTTTCCTGTATCGATTTTCAATCACCTGATTCTTACGCTCGTCCTAAAATCTGTAGATTTTTTAACATCGAATCAATTTTTTTCGAACTGTTTGTCGCTTGCTGAATCGACCCTGATTGCTTTTTATAAATAAACAAACTATATTTATCCCTAGTTGATCCCAAAGCATGTTCACCCGTTATAAACATTCGCTTCTTAGATAATTCTACGCGCTTTCTTCCCACAGTAATAAATTAGTTGCTAACGCGATGATCTAAATGGTTTTGGCGTCGAAAACATTAGTCTGGGTGAACGAAATGCTTGAGAGTTAATAGAAACTAATTTTTATTCCAAAAATAACGAGTAAGCCGTCATCCTAGTCGCGGATCTCAGTTCGAGAGACTCAGTCACAGAGGAAACTTAAAATAGGATTTCACGAATACTCCTGTATAACAGTCACTCGGTCGGCATCGTAATTGAGCCGGCGCCACGGTTGAATTTTCGTCAAGTGGTTAATAATAAACCTCAGAAAAAGTTCGCCGACTTCTGACCCGCGAGTCAAACGGTCCAGCTGTATCTGTACAAAGTTGTCCAGGAAATCTAGATCTCTCGTTGGTCAGGCGGTATCAGAAGTTCCCGCTGATACCCCGATACGAGCGAACCACAGTCGCGTCGCCGAAACGTCATCGCCATGAGCACCGAGCCGCATTTAGACCGGGTTCACAAGCCCGCCTTCTCATTTCTCCCCTTCCATTTGGGATACTCTGTTGTGCGGTGGTCGTGCGATAGGAACCATGGTCCCGTGATGCTGTTTCGCGGGCAGTTTCCAAATCGCACGCGCTCCCAGGACCGTCACTAAGCGGAGTATCGCCTGGCGCGTTAAATAGCTTTTTTAGATTTCGAGGGGTGGAAGATATTTGAAAGAAGAATTCAGGAGAATTGTAGCTGGATTAAATACCTGCTAGCTCCCCGTAGCTGAGTGCAGTAACGTCTAGCATCCGAAGTTGAGCTCAAAACTTTATAATCCCTCGTAGCTAAGCTCAGTACTTTCTAGCGTGGAGGTCCATATACTTTTTTGGGAAAGGTCAGGGATAGTGTGAAGATTCCCCGTTCTGCTCATACACCGGTTGGCCCCCTCGGTCAAACAGCTGCTAAATATGTTAAACATGCTACAAACTCCCCACGGTGAAGGGTACAACTTCTAGTGAGTGCGTTACAACTACTGGTTTCACCCTCGTGGATCTCTGCTACCAGACCATATAGAATTGTTGGTAGTGTTTCTTTCTCCGCAATCTAACAATAAATATTCTTCATCCTCGGGAGTTTCAGTAGCTAAACATACTTACCCTACAATTCCAAAACATTCGAGTATCTATAAAATTCTCCTCTCATTTAACATTTAGCTAGTTCATAGCACTCCGAACCAAACGAAACAATTCCAAGTACTGACGCTAAGAAAAATCCGAGTTTAGAACCTACCCAGCTAACCACATACTTAACACCCAAACAAACCTAACACCCAAAACAAACCAAGTACCCAGGTGTCGAGCTCGATCCCATCGCTAGAAGTCTGCCCTGTGGTTCATCTCTCCTTCCCTTGGCGATCAGTTGCGCATCGGTCGCGGCTCCGAGCAACTCGGTTTGGACGATAGGCGGACAGTTTTCAACTTGCGGCCAGTTTCCAAATCGCGCGCGCCGTCCCGCGTATCGCGAAAGAGGGACGCACCTGCACGCCGTCGCCTCGGCGCGCAGCTGCGACCTTCGACGCCCTTGTGCCGGCGGACGTGCAGCGCGACGCCTGTCCTCGTCATTTTTACGTCGGACGCACGCACGATCGCGCGCGCGGGTCCTCAACGTTGGACGAAACGAGATTCGTTGGTCGTGTATTGCGACGCAGATCGCAGGTACTTCGAATCTGACGCGCGCTGCGCCGTGTCGCAGGTCTCCCGCGGAAAAGTGGTGCCCGCGTCGACCAAGGGCACGGTTAACGACGCTGTGCCCCCCCGAGTGTCGTGCCCCGCTTTTATCGGCCCTCTGGAAGGGGCAACAGCGAAAGGATTGCACGACGGAGAAACGGTGAGTGCGACTTGCACCGTTTTGTTTACCCTCCCACCCCCTTGCCCCTCCCCCTCCGCCCTACACCCTCCTCCCCCCCCCGGCACGCGGAAGGGATGAAGAGGCGCGTACTTTGCACGGAGGGCTTTTAAATCGCAGAGACGCTGACATTTTTGTAGAGAGAATTGTGCGATTTTTGGACCGTGTGATCGGTATTTGAAATGATCCCAGGGACGCGACCCTCGCTGACATTTTTGTAGAGAGAATTGTGCGATTTTTGAACCGTGTGATCGGTATTGAAAATGATCCGTTTGACGATTTGAAGGAAGCTTGTTCAAGGAAGTTCTATTGAGTGATATATTGATCGAGAGGTCAAGACATTACAAGTGAAAGTAATCGTTATCTCGCATGTTGAATCACGGGGACGTGCCTCTGACTGTTCGAAATTTGTCTATGGAGAATTGGATGAAATATGTTGAACCACGTCGACGGTGTTGACAATGATCTCTTTGGCTATTTGAAAGGGGTCGTTTGAGGGAACGTGTTTCTGTTTGTTTGAAAATTTGCCCGTTGATTTTCGTTTACTGCTTCAAGGGATTTGTTTCAAGGGACTCTGAAAATGATTATGTTGAAATCGATTTACACTTAAAAATTGCTTTGGTTTCTGTGTATTCGAGTAGAGCAAACAAAAAATATTCATTTAAAACTCGTCACTCGAGACGTTAAAAAATTCAGTGTTTAATCATCACGTAAGAGAGAGAGAGAGAGAGAGAGAGAGAGATTTCGTACCATTCATACATACATGTATATAGGCTAGACAAACACGTGGAAGGTGTTCTGCGGGCGTCTTAAAACAAACCTAATGGAAATTGAAATTAAATGAAATTATTTGTTATTCTCTCAGTGGGATATGTCGAGTCTGTGTGTTTTAGCGATTCGAAGTTGTTTGATTCGTGCTTCTATCACGTGTTGGCGACTAGAGATGTTTCGAAAACCATGTCGGGATGATTTATTACTCCCCATTTCGTATGATCTAGTGGGTGTGAGTCGTTAGGATTTGCCCTACTTGTAAGTGCTTACGTATATATGGTTGATCCACTTGTAAATGCAATCGAAAGACCTGTGCTAATAGATTGCTCCAGATTCGTGTCGCATTACTTTTACAAGCCACAACGCGTGTATCCCGTTTCGACACAGGAAATGTTTCAACTATTCAACAAATTATTACAGAACTTCACGTGACGTTGTCCCACCCATCTTAGGGTCTCCTGTCATTCTCGATTCAATTTATACGGTATCGATTGCTGTGACGTCAGCGAGCAACGTACGGCACCTTGGAGTAAGCACGAATGATTCAGAAAGTCAATCTTCTGA